CACGCATAAAACAAAATAATTTCTACGTCAGACAGCAAATCAATAAATGTTTGGCAGTTCACAGAACACCGTCAAGATTAAGGTTAACTTAGGCGGCTTGATCAAGGATGAATCACGTGTTAGTTGCGTTACTATGTGTCTTTTCTCAATATGCATTACTTTCGCGAAATTATGTTTGCTCTACAGAGTTACTGGATCAGCTACATTTCCTGGTTATCGTCACAGAGAATCGTAGATCAGGTATTACCCATGAGTCGTGACTGTTACGTAAACCAGGTTACCACACTATTCCCGTTCAATCCAAGTAAGCACTATCCACATCGGCGAACTTCAGTTAGATTGGTTCGAAAGGAAGTAAATACCATTCTGACTCATAAAACTTTATGGGGGGATAATTCATCCTCACAAGACCTTCATAGGGAATCTGGAAGTCAGTTAAGGTTTCCCTTTCAGGGCAACACTTCAATTACTGAGACACTCCTATGTTGATTGGTACAGAGTGTTTCATCTGATATTCTTTGGTGGCTTAGATGTCAGGTAATTTTCGAAACTTTAGTTCATGTTTTCTAAAAGTAGGAAGACGCATTGTGAGATAACTAGATTTCATGGAAGTGTAAATAGTTCTATATAGAGGGAATATGATTACAAACCTGGTTAAGCATATCTAAAAGGTTAATAATGCACAACAAATTGTGCTTGCTATTATGAGAAACCATAAAAAGCAACGTATGCTGAAGTATTAAATGGACAAGTATAATTACATATGAAAAATACGCACGTGGACAATACTTTCTTTCTCCGATACAGTTGTAGTGGTTTAAGTCATATGTTTAAGAGCTAGCCGATAACCTCCTATTAAGATTAAAATGTTTTTGCTAAGACACCTAATTACTTGTTTATTTTAGTTAAACATTGCATATAATATAATCTCATTTAATATGATCTAGTGGTAGATTTATGCGTTTAAATTAGGACCTCTCTCTACAATTATTCTAAGCATGGTGTAATAAAACTATCGCAACCACTTTAAAACATCTTCATATCTACCGAACGAGGAGTAAAGAAATTTCAAATACAATCACCATGACAGTGTTAATCTTGTTAGGTCGATCGGCAGAGAGTACAAAGACCCTGTTAACCCAGGGATAATGTATGGACAAAAAATTTCATCGATCAAATGAATACAAAGATGGAGGTGAGTTTTTTTAAAAACAACAAACGTTTCTAGGAATTAGGGCATCAACTATAATAATAATAATAATAATAATAATTTATTCTCAAATAACAGTTTGTTACATGAGGCATGGCAGTTTACAGGCAAGATCAAATTGATACAAATGATACAATATACACTGTAATAAATTACATAGCTGGGTTGATAATTTATAAGATATGAATGTAGATGGTTTTAATCAGTACCACAGTTGGCGCGCTTCATGAAAGTTGCGTTGCGAATGTGGACTGATGGTCAAGGATAGGTCCATTGAAGGTATGGGCTTCTAAAAATCGCAACCTTATTTCCTTCTGGGATATCCAAGGCTTTAAGGATGGTGCAGGATGAAGTCACCAGTTCCATATCTCAAGGGGGCTGAAAGGGGCACAAGTAAAAGAAAGGACGAGAGGGAGAGTAGCCAATATTCATGAAGGAATGCTTAAGGTATGATTACTCAGTCTAATTTTCCTTTATTAAGGTATATGTTAAGAAACAGCATTTTAATAGGTTAAAGAAAATAAGTGTTGACAAGGTGTGAGTGGACATACAACTGACAAATGGGGGCGATTAGGAAAAGAGCTGAAAGTATGGGATTATTTGTGGTTATAAAATAAAATATAGTGCTAGAAACAGTATTGTGATATACATTTGGCTGTCTCACCAGTGTTACACACACACTATTAAATCCACCAACAATATACTAGTTGTCAGAATTCAAAACCAGAACGAAATAATCATGAAAACCCTAACAACATCAAAGAGTTAACCACGCTTCACAAAATGCAAATAATAAAACATCGATTACAAATAAAGCAAAACAGAAACAAAATATGCGTTGACGAGATATGCAAAAAAACACTAGAATAATAATAGGTAAAGATATACGCAGTGAAAGTTTTCAGTTGTGATTACAACGACATGCAAATGGATCCTATATAGCGTACCTATTCAGTGCTCATATTAACATTTGGCATAATGTAAAACCTTAAATAATGAATAAATAATGAAGACATAAGATTAATAGGATATCCCAAGTGATCTAGATACTGTTCGGTGTTAGAGTGTTAATCTGTGTCTCTGGAATAACAGATCTAATACTCTAAGCTTGCTATTATATGACTACTCAACTTACATAACCTTACGACAAAGTCACGTCATTCCTTATAAGGACTCTCCCTGTCATGACAATCAGCCGTATGGTTTGTAAGAGGCTTTAAAAGGTACATTCTTAGTGGCAATATAATGACATATTTATCGTAACAGGAATAGGTTTGTAGAAATAGGAAAACAACACTGCTCTTCAGCCAAATCATTTATAGGCATGTCATTAAATGCTGAGCAGTTTACCGGTCGTCACTAAAGTCAAAGACAACAAATGTGCATCAACCAGTTCCATTCTATGGACGGGTCCATGCTGAAGTCGTCGCTTTCAATTTACTCTACTCATTCTTTCTAATACATTTCTATAATAGATTATTTTCGTTTTATGAGGTTATTAAATTCGGCACAGTACCCACCACCACCACATCCCAAACCAAAAAATGAAAATCGTTAAAAGAAAAGAAAACACACTGTATGGATTTTATTTTCCTTACGCAATGCATTTTTGAAGTGGGTCTTCGAATTCTACTTTGAAGCTCATGGGTTCTCCCATCTGACAAGAGAAAGCGATCTCAAACAGCAATGTGGTGTCACAAAGTGAAGCACTCAACTCTTATCTGACACTTGTTGAGCTTGGCCATAGTGAAGTAAACTGAATGAGGTTAGGCTGTCACACATAAGTAACTGTTAGGTAGATTTCAAATTATTTTGATGTGATCTAAAATAATTTGTCTCTCAGAACAGGGCGGCACGGAATTTCCGAGAATGGATTTCCCGATTAAAGATAACTATATGAAGTTTCGAATTACTAACCTAGGAAAGCAGATATAGAAAGAATAAGGACATTAGCAGTTTGCCAGATATTAACAGACCAATTAAATGGGCTTAAGAAACAGCACATTGTATCTTTCTCAAACGCTTTTAGTAAAAGATGTGTAGAATTCCGTCAACTCTCATTTTGCATATATGATGATGTATATAAACATTTTTCTAAAACCCAAAAATTAGATATTTCATAATCCACAAATACAAAGCATTATGAGCGTTAAGGAGGACATATAGTCCAAACAATTTTGTCTGAACTCTCTAGGGTTATTGCTTGTTTTAAGCCCAGGTAAAGGAATAAATCTAAATGTCGGGTCAGATACCTTACCGAGCGTAACTCTATCACAAAAATATTAACGAAAAAGATAATCTAATTCACTTATACTATAACCTTAGAGCTGAAGATTCTTCATTTAGAAGGGTTAAGAATTCTCAGTGAAAGCCAAGGTTTTCCGAAATTCATGAGGTCAGTGACCCTTATGACAACTACAACTATTATAATCACGTGGAGTGTCCGAACGATTCAGGAAACCAGGATGGTCATTCGAATAGGGTGAAAAATGAAAACATACGACATGACCATTTTTAAGGTAAGTGAAACTTATTGATTAATCACTGGCTAAAAAGAAAACCTTTTGGATATTGAAGAATCCACAAATATTCGGAGTTTGACAACGCTTTAACCAGTAACCCCTAATATGCATCGTACTCACCAAGTGAATTCAAAAGGCGGAAATGGGGAGGTTCGAAGATATATTTGATAGTTTATCACTATATCGAGGATCGTCTGATCTAATCTGGCTAGCGATTGTAGGGGTTGTTGAGCACGGCGTTCCTACTCGTGATCTGGTGCGGATCATGAACGGGTGACTTCAACTAGGTGGGTCCATTAAAACTAATGCGGCCAGCATCCAATGTCGAAAACTTACAGAGCCATTCATTTTGGGACTTTATTTACCGCTACAGATCACTACCCTCCTAGTGGGATATTGATGACCCTAAGGCGTGGCCAGCCAGAAGTTTAAACCCAACGAGTTTGTCGTTGGTAAACACTCTTCTGATAGGTTGCTAGGTTTAGCAGCGTCTGGTTGTCTTTCCTTACTATAAGGGACCATGAAGTACAATATAGCAAAAAAAAGAGAAAAAGTTCAATGGAAATTTCGGTTCCTCGTAAACTTTGTCGCTCTTTTTATCGTCTTTATTAGCCGTCCTGATGAAGAAAAAATATGTAAGTTCATGTAAAAATACACTCGTACGCGCGTAAAAACACAAAGCGGGCGAAAAAATGGAATAAAACTCATGCACACACAATAGCGTAAAAAAGGATTTTTATTATAGCATCGATCGCCTCAAAGCAGCGTATTTAGGAGGAAATCCTATCCACGTCGATTTTCCTTCGGTACATTCGCACGACTCAACTCCTACACTTATAATACCTCAACTGACAGCCAACACACACGATGATACTTTGGCAGTATCAGAAAATAAACTTTAAACAACGCGTTCTGGAAGAAGAGTGAGATTCCCAGAACATTCGAACGATTGCTTTAGTTCTGTAGATATTATGATGGATTATCGCAAATTGTGTTCCTCAGTGTCGTTTATTATCAAGTTGTTTTGCCCTTTAATTTCTTGAGGGAATGTAACAAGAGTCTTACGTTTCTGTAACCAGGAGCACACCTAATCTACCCAGGCACGGGACCTTAGGAACAAATAATTGACTAAACCCGCCAAGAAAAGTTACGTTGAACATTCTAAATATAGTCAATATTTCAACTAGACGGTTCAAAATAAAACCTGAGAAGATCAGCCTTGTTATCCTAGAAAAAATGTGTGTTTGCACAACTTAATCAGTATTTCAATTTTTTATTATCACTTGAGTTTAACTATTTTGTGGGAATATTTGACATGACTAGGTCATTTAAGTAGTGATTTTTGAATAAGTCGCACGGTGAATCTCCATCTATCTAGTGAACGTTATTAACGTATGACTCCTTGATGTCGTCTAAGGTTAAAGTTTTTACTCTTGAAGATGTCAAAAAACACAATAAGCCAGATGATCTTTGGATTGTGATTCACGATAAAGTATACGATTTGACAAAGTTCGCGTCTGAGGTAAGACTACATACAGTTACATGTTGCAACAGCAATTTCGATAGTAGGACATATAACCCGAGTCTAAGTTTTACCATACTTACCTAGATAGAAACCTGCTATTCTTTAAGTTGAATGTAGAACATTTCCCATCTCCGGATTTTGGGGAAAGTGTGGGTTTTTCCCGGAAGTCATGTTAAAATTCGTAGTTTAGGGGAAGCCGAAGTCCCCCCCCAGAACTTTCGGGGACTGTCCTTAAATGACTTTAAATTTTACGGAGAAACCACAGACTAGAGGAACTTTTGGAGTTTTTGTCTCATTTTCCCAAACCTTCCTCACAATCGGGAGACTGGATTGAAATATGAAGGGTAAGTTCTAATGTGTCTCAGTATTTTTAGTTTCTCAAGCTGGCTCTAGAAACCATATGTCAAAATAAAATAAACTGGTATCAGAAGATTTAAGACCAATGTTTTGTCACTTGGTGTGAAGCAAATTTTATAAGCCAACAATTTTGAACCCCGAGATTCACTTTTAAGGATTTTTTTCCTCCGTATAACGATAACAAATAAGGGTGATACTTTTGATCGACCTCAAGTGACTTACTATGGTCAAATGAGGGTTTTAAATTAGTATGAGAAATTAAAGTTTGCAGCTAAGAATTTGGTTCGTGTTTGTTTAAGAATCCCATCCTAGTTTGTATATTGGACCGCGGGTTAACTTATTATCTATGTGGAATCTGATAATAACAGTTTCACTTGGATTTAAACCCATTTCTTGGTGATATAGTATAGTACGTAATTCACTGGAAAAGCTACTTCATTACAACAGTCCACTCTTATTTTATTTTAGTTGTCGATATGTTACATTTCCAAACATTCTTCCTGTGTTATTGTACTGGTGTAAAACTTCAAAGTGCTACACATTTTTAGGTCAGCAGTACTCGATTACAAGTGTCTACAAAACATTGCCAGCGTATTACGCAACCACTGACTTGACAGTGTAGGTTAGCGCATATTACTAGTTTACTATCGTAGCAGACTAGAAAGGTTGTTACAGTTCAACGGAAGTAGGCTGAGGCATGTCCTACGCATTAAGCTGCTGCTTACCCCAGTATCTTACATCGATTGTGTAGTTTGTATGGACCTTAAAGCAACTAACTGCGGTATCAGTTAATGAAGTCATTAAATGTTAACCCAAATTGTAGTGCGCACTTCTCGATTGGGGTTAACGAGATAACTATTATGTATAGTTAGATACTTGATGTAGCACTTTTCATGACTACAGCTAAAAGACTTCAGTTGAGGAACTCCACATCACTTTTATGAAAAATGTACTCGGAAGCTACAACTGGATCGCCCCTGGCTTTTATTCTGAGGTATAATTAATACCATATCAAACTGTTAAGGCAAACGGTTTCTAGTACCCCAATCAGGGAGTCACAATGGAACAACAGGTGGTAATCTTATGCGGCTGTCTTTTGTACCGCGACACTGTCATTAAACTGATCAACTACTTTTTATTCAGTCCCAGCATCTCAAATAATGCGTGATGTAGAAGCAGCTGAGGTAGGAATTTGTAGGAATGTAAATTCATTTGTAATGATGATTGCGAATATCATTTGTATGATTGGTCAGACTCAACTATTCCTTAATATATATGTGTGTGGGTTAGTGTACTGCCTGAATTCACGGGCTAAAGTTATGGGTTTCTTTGAAGTGTCACTCCCCTAACCTTTGACCGAAGGTTAGTTATATTAAGGTAGGTATGCCCGTTTTTTAGCCTCCCCAAGCCCTCAACACAAGATTATCCTGTGATTGAAACACCAGCTTCGGTGGCCTAAATATTCGTTACGAATGTCATCCCAGGGACTTTCACTTCGTGCACCAGTTATTGACTCTGGGACTGAGTGTAAAAAGCAGAGAGCTGGACAGGTTATACTATGGCTGTTTGCGACTGGCATCTTCCGGTTCATCACGAATTTCTGGCTAAAGTTTTAGTTATGGACAGCCCAGCTGTTTGAGACATGGCTCACAATAGAAACCAGTAAAGATCCACAGCTTTTTATATTTTTCGTAAAAGTGGGAGAAAATCTTGACTGAAAACAGCCTTTCTGGTCATACTTCTTATCTGACTGTATGTCCTTTCATTTACTCTTCTCATCCACTTGTTTTCATTTATTTTTGATTGTTTTCCCCTACCGTCATCGATCTCTTCACGGTTTGGTTTTTTTATTTTTTTTGGCACCAAGTTGTACTGTAAATAAAATAAGTTCTATGCTTCCCGTTTGTTTCCTTTAGTAACTTTTATCTTTAGCTATCCATTATCGTTTGTATTATTGCTTTCAAGCATTCGGTTTTTCTTTTGATTTCTGTGTATGTTTATGTAATGCATATCAATATTAACCGATTAAAGCTTACTCTATTTCGTGCATTTATCTATCTAGCTATCTGTTTCTACAGAATTTATACTATATTTCCATTTAGCATCCAGGGGGTGAAACTGTATTAGAACAACAAGCGGGAGATTATGGTACCGAACCATTTGAAGATGTAGGACACTCATCAGATGCTCGCGAAATTATGGAGCAGTACTATATAGGCGATATAGCACCTGTACGTTTGTTTTTGATTGTCTAATATGTTTTTACTTTCAGGCCGACCGTGAACGAAAAAGTAAATTCACCTCTTCATTCACACTGAAGAAAGTAGATAATTTTAGGTAACATTTTTTCGAATTAATGATAATTTTTTCATGAATTTTGTTTTAATTGTATTCTGACTTATTATTAACCAGTAATTTTACCAAAATCTGCGTGCCTTCATAGATATATTTGAAATATAATACAACCCCTTATTTAAGAACGGATGTAACTGCTTATCATTGAATGCTTCATACCTTCAGATCCATTTTATCGGTCCACTCATCTTTTTTATTCTGGGAAATACAATTGCTACGCTAAAGATAAATTCGGCGTTCTTTGTTTGGGGTGTGTTCTCAATACACATTTTAGAAAATGCTTTTTAGTTGTTCTCAATATCTAGGACTTCAAAGGAACACAATTAAAAGTCAAATTAGCTCTGTTTAATTTGTGACTCCTCTGTTTTACTGGCGTTTAGATTTACTGTGACTATGCAACTTCATTCTCCGTACTTATTCTTACTCTTATTTGCGACTCTTAAGTCACACTACTTTTTCGAATGTTGCAATATGGCTGTAAAGTAAATATACATTTTAACACATTGATGTCATTCAGTTGTTTTCAATTTAATAGATTACCTTTTAACTAAGCACCAATGCTATCTGGAATTAAGTTATAATATACCGAGCAATTATTGTGGCTGATAACTAATCACATAACCGTTAGTAAGTTAAACATGTGAACTTGTATGAAAGTTGATGTATTTTAGTTGATGAGGTCATAAATCTGCTTCGATTTAAATAGTCAGATACATACTTTAAAATCTTATAGAAGTCAACTTAAGTGCTTATTGTATATACTACCGTTTAACAGCTTTTCTAAAATCATAAGTTATGATTTTCGAGTAAATGTAGTAATCGTCAAAATTATATTGTTATTCAAAATATAAAGTCCTCTTCAAATGATCTCTTGCTGTTGTAATTTTACAAGTTATATGGATAAAGATAGCACGTGCATTAAAATACTGGAAATTCCATATATGGATTAATCACTGAATTCCTTAAATTTCTATTCCTAAAAATATAGAGATGATGGAATTTAATTGAATAATGACATAATCACTTACTTGCACTGGTATACCTTGCCATTTGATAATACCGTAGTAAAAGCGTAAGTCATTATCATAGAGCACATCTTTCAAAAATTATCAGGCAATGTAGCTTTCACTAATTTCTCCAGTGTTGTCTCACTCAGTTGTTTCATAATGTATTACAATTAATTGAATAATAGATTCGTAGAAAATTATAGTTCCAAAAGATAACTGTTGTATTCATACTTGATAAGTTTCTCTAGATAAAGATCTCACTGATTCTAGTATTTTTATTCGATGCATGCCACGTTTCAGTTTCGGTATGTTTCTATTACCCTGAATATTTTCTATCATGTTTTTCTAAAATAGTGATATTGACACTGTCTAAAACCATCTTGTGAATACTTAAAAGTTAAGTTGCTCTCAAACTGTTATGTCGGTTCGAAATTGCTATTTATTTCTGAAGTATGTGGGGTTCCGTTCCTCAGGCTGATCTACATGAATGTAGCCGTAATGTTGCTATAAATATGTTGTACGCATTTTTACTGAATTTTATGACGTAAGATTATCATGCTTCTAGGACTTGCACACCTAACTAGTCTTAATTGTAGAGGTACGAAGATGTTCCTATTTTTTTCTACCTGGATTGAATATATTACTCCCCCCTAATTATCGGATGGAGAGATAAAAAAGGACTTCTATTGACCTCTATGGGATGCATGGTTGTCATATATTTTTAGCAGTATATAAGGCTTGGGTTCATATGAATAGCATGTGATTCTTCATGTACAAATCGAGTTGATGCTGCTCCAGTTTAATAAAGTAAAAAACTTAATAGAAGTGTCAGTCAGTTAGCTACAACGTAGGACCAGGCACATATATGCATCGGTCCAAGTTACCATACCTCATTAACACGACAAGATGGACACCGGATTCATAAAAGTAGTTAATTCAGATGTAGTAATATATAAAAGAAAGTTTGCAATAAGGATGTAGTACAGGAAGAAAGAATTAGTTCGTAGAAAGAAAGATATGAAGCAATTTTAATCTCTTAGTTTAAGGGAAGACTGAGAGTGTATACGCCGACGCCATTGTGATCGATTCTGAACCATGTCACCAAGAGTCTCCAACCATTGGTTACGATAGTCTCGCGACCCCAACCAAGTACTCTGCATTTACTAACGTGGCTCAGACTAGAAGTTAGTGACTTCAAGCACTGATGCCACGTTTTGGTTTGGCCGCCCCTAACTTTCTTCCAACCATTTTCAATACCGGATAGCATTGCAAGTCTTGGTAATCGGTGTTCAGGCATACGTAACACGTGGCCCAACCATCTCAGTCGATGAAGATTTACAACCTCATCAACTGATTTACCATAATTCTCTAATACCCTGCGTCTAACCTCACTATTACTTACCCGGTGATCCCAGCGGACGCCAGCAATATTTCTAAGGCATCTGTGGTCAAATACTAGTAGCTTACGAGTGTCTTCTACTCTTAATGGCCATGTTTCGCTGCCGTAAAGTAAGACAGAACGGACTGCCGCGCAGTATACTCGTTCTTTTATTGATAGACGGATATCCCGCCTTCGCCATAGGTGACATCAGTTGGCAAAAGCCAAGCGAAGCGAGCTTTTCGAATCCGTGCTGAGATTTCGTCAGACACCAACCCATTAGGGCTGGTCAGACTTCCAAAATAAGTGAAGTTTTCAACGCGTTCGACTACTTCACTCCCTATCCTTAGTTCACTTGTTGACGCAGGCCAGTCCTGAAGCAGCAGCTTGCATTTAGAGGGAGAGAAGCACATTCCAAACATTCCGGCATTGTTGCTTAGTGCTACCAAAAGACTCTGCATTTTGTCAGCATCTTCATCAAACAGGACTATATCATCTGCGTATTCTAAGTCGATAAGTGGGCCTTCTGGAAGGAGATCAATACCCGAGAATTCAGTCGACGAGAATGTTATTTCCATCAATAGGTCTATGATGAAGTTGAACGAAAATGAAGTGGACATCCTTGACGGACACCATTTGAGGTTGCAAAAGTAGATGACAGTTCGCCATAAGCTCTCACTCGTCTAGTAGTGTTCGAGTAAAGAGCTTTTACAAGGTTTATGTACTTCTGGGGTACGCCTTTCAATGACACACTGCCACAGAATCTCGCGGTCTACCGAGTCAAATGCTGCTTTTAAGTCAAGAAAGACCACCATCGTCGGACGCCGATAAGTATGCCTATGTTCTAGAACCTGACGAATGGTGAATATGTGGTCGATGCAGCCACGACCAGGTCTGAAGCCAGCTTGGTTTTCTCGTGTTTGCAGTTCACGAGTCTTAGTTAGGCGTCTGATTATTATTGAGGCTAGTATTTTAGATACTATATCAGTTAAACTAATCCCTCTATGGTTGTCACAGGATGATTTTAACCCTCTCTTATATATTGGGACGATAAGTGATTGTGACCAGTCAGATGGAATAACGTCTAACTCCCAGATCTTAGCTAAAATATTAGTCAACCTAGTCGCTCGAATTGGACCACCATCCTCAAAGACCTCTGGACCAGCTGCCCTTCCTCGTTTCAGGTTAACTATAGCCTTTTGAACTTCTGCTAGAGTTGGGGGACCTACTTCAATGTTCCATTCACGCTGTCTGGGAATGGAGGGTAGTTGTAGAGTAGCTGAAGGCCAGCTGAACTGTTCTCTGAAATGTTCCGCCCATCGTTCTAAACGCCTGGACTGGGAGCAGATGAGTGTATCGTCTTTTCCCGAAATAGTCTCACTTACACTTGACCTATTAATTCCAGTTTCTTTTATTAGTCTGTAAAGCTGTCTTGTGTTCCCCATAGTCACCGCCTTTTCCATCTCTTTTGATTTCGTTGCCCACCACTGCTCACGGTCGTTTCTTAGACTTTTTCTGAACCTAGATCTGATTTGTTGTCGCTCTTCATCATGTTCGGAACCTGATGGGACGAGTTTGCGAGAATCCATCAGTGTGATAGACTTTGAAGAAATCCACTGGTTCTTTGAAACTCTGTGGTTTAAGTTGCTAATAGATGTCACTGCTGCTTCCACAGCTGTTTGTATGTCTTTCCAAGCAACATCTGAGTCAGCCTCGTCTTCAGAACTACCTAAGTGTGAACTCAGTTGTTCTTGGAACCTACTTTTGGTTTTCTCGTTACTCAATTCAGTTCTAATGGGTCTTTTTAATGTGGCTTTTTTTGCGTCCGGTGAGGCGCAAGCAGATGCGTGCCCGTATTAGGGCATGGTCGGAGTCCAAGCAGGTACTCCAGAATGAGCGACAATCTTCTACCGACCCTCTCCAACGATGACTGATGGCAATATGGTCTATTCGAGTCCATCGTTGGTTTGATGTAGACGATGTCTCTCCTTATGCTTAAAAATTGTGTTTGTTAAAAATAAACGATTGTCTGAGCATAGTTGCAGCAGACGATCACCATTATCTGTTCGTTGTGCTGGAATACTAAAATATCCACCTAAATGCCTTTCTGTTTGGTTTAAACTACCTATCTGGGCATTGAAGTCACCCCCTACGAGTACTATGTCTGAGCGTTTAGCTTTCTGAAGAAGTTCAGAAAGCTTTCTGTAAAATTCATCTTTCACATCATCTGAGCTGCGGTCAGTGGGAGCGTAGGCAGAAACGACAAAAAGGCAACGACGTGTGTCCCTATCCTTCCGAGTTCTTACGGAGCCGTTTAGCCAAATAGCACATAAACGACTGTTGACGGGGATCCACTCTAGCAGTGCTTGTTCGGCCCTCATGCTTAGTACTATCCCTGCCAGTCCACGAGAGCTGGCCGTCGGGTCACCAGATACACGTAGGGTGTGTCTCGTTGGCTCTCCGTTTTGCCGAGGTGAGGTCAAGTGAATGACCACACTGGGATCCTGTATGCGTGTTTCGGAGACACAGCATACATCAATGGAAAGAGACTCTAGGGTTCTAGCCAAGGAAGCCTGCTGGCCGATTTGACATAGAGT